TGTACTAGAAATCAACTTGAGATTTCGCAGGCGACCAGGGATAGGCGCCTACAGTTTGCTCAGGTGATACAGGTTTAATCAAGCAGACGACCCGTGAAGACAATGCCTAATATCTGCAAGCATGGGAATCAGAGCCTGAGTGCTCTACTCGGTGAGGCGGCAATGTGCGTATTTCTAAGGCCTTGAGAAATAGCACCTGGAGTAAAACGCACACTGGGACTTTAACCGAATGAAAGCGCTCGACCAGAAAGATAATAACCGGGTCTACGGGACCATGAGGGAGATCCGGATAGAAGCCCGACAGGATTAGCCAATAGAAAAAGGGGGGCAAGGTGAATAGCAAGTCTGATGAGGACAGACTATATTTGCTAAAAAGGAAACACATTTTAACGAGTGGAGTATAAACAAGTTAGAAGTTATGATAGGGCGGGAGTTGGATAAAAGGGTAGAGTAGGTAGATGGGCAGGAACAGGAATGATAATGTAACCGTTTCGGCAGAGCGTTGGTCAAAGCATTGACTTCACTTGTCTGTTTGACGAGTTTGTAGTTTGGTGCAGAATATAACAAGACTCAATGATGATGCCGGCGAAACATCTGAGAATGTACTAAGTCAATGGTCTTATGCTGGGAATTAAGATAAAGACTATAGCAGAGGACTTCGGACAAGTTACGTTCAACTAAGTCGTCCTGATAACAAGACCAAGTTGCGAAAAGGAGGTCTTCCCACTTCTTTAGGTAAAAATTGTTTCATGTATTTACCAAAAATAGGCATGAACATCAAAATTTCAGTGAAATTAACTAAAAATATGAGTGTAATAAAAATAATCATTAGGTGTCAGAAATAAGATTTCATCCTCCTTGCCTTCTTTAACGTTCGGTTTCTATCATCTTCCAGAATGGCACTAAAGGAATTAGCTGATTGAACCAACTTGTCCCGCTCGACCATCCACTCCTGCTGCCAGAATATGCGGGCCTGTGCCTCGGCCTGACTCATTTGTGCCAGCCGATCCCTAAGCTGTGACAATTCATTTGCCTGGAGAGCCGCTGATTTGGTTAGCTCATCAAGAACACTGTGATTGAGAAAATCAAAGGCCTCCGAACCAATGGCTAGATTGAGCGCGTCGGTAGAATGCTTAATGGCATCCAATCTTTGGGTGTCCTTCAGCTGTTGTTGACGCAGGAGACCTTGATTTACGGTAAGCTGGTCCAACTGACTAACCAAATGGCGTAGTTCAGAGTCAGTGCTGTCTGCTTTGTTTCTAGTGTCGGACAACCCGATCTCAAAACTTGTTGTTAGACTGGTAAGTTTGTTCTGCAGATCCAGAAGTGATTGCGTGGTGGATACCAGAGTAGATTGGGTCTGGGAAACCTGGAGATTGTGAGTGGCTGAGTCCTTAACTAGTAGGTGGATGTCAGTAATGACACTCTGAAGTGAGCTGGCAAGAAAAAGCACATCAGAACATAATCAATATGGAAAACAGAGATGTTTAAAATAGAGTCAGTGTCAAAAGGTTGCATACAATTGCGTGAATAAGTAATTTGATCAAGCATAATAAAATAGAAACAGCGGCGAAGCAAAATTAAATTAGGGTAGGTGAAAATCACAGGGGGTAATTAGTCAAGGCAGCGAATATTAGGATTTTAAAGTCTCACAATGTTCACTTAAAATTAAAACCTGAGCCTTATAACCAGAAAAATAAACAACTATAGTAATGATGCAATGCTTCCGTAAGCATATAGGTAAGAATTATTTATTAACATCGGAATTTGAAAAATATTATCCTTTTTACGTTATGTAGAAAATACGAGCTGAAGAGATTCCTAAATTAATCTCATCCAAATTCTCCCATATTATCTCAAAGAATCTATATATGCCAACATTCCGGCTCATGGAGCCAATTAAACTATAATGATCACTTTGGAAGAGCATCCAGAGATTACAGACAGAATAAGAGTGAGTATAGCCTTCATTCTAAGGCTTTGTAGTCTATGCATATGCGTAGTACTTATTTTATCTTTGATGATAAGTTCTAGCTTATAGACAAAAGGACATGCAATGGGATTCTGTTTAGCTCCAAGTTTTGTAAATAATTAAATAGCCAAAATTGAGGAACGCTTCATGAAAGAAGTAGTACTGACTAAAAATTAGTTTTTTGGGGATACATTCATTTCGTATGAAAATGCATGAAGAAGGGGTTCATAGGTTGATCTCACCCAAAGACGACGGTTGAATCCTGTTGTACTGCAGCCGTTTGGTTTTGATACGACGCTCAGGTTGACGCAGTGCACAAGACATCCTCCCTCGTTTAGGAGGTAAACAGGCTGAGCATTCGTGCAACCTATGAAGGACATCATCAGAGCTAGAACTCATTCTTGTAAAATCTCACGTTAACACAAGGACAGGAAGGCTAACCGACTCTATCTTACCTATCATATATACTCATAACTCAAAACGAAAATGAATAGGCATACATACACATGGGATGGTTTAGCTGATTATTTTTCATTCTGGTCCTGCTACTTTTGCTGATATGTGTGCGTGTGATAATGTCAGTACGCAATAGCAGTCCTAAATCAAAATGATCAAAAAAGCTAATGTCAAGCTCTAGGGATAAAAAATAAATGACCCAAGAAAAGTGGATGATTGTTATGAGTATGAAACTAGGAGATAGCAAACATTTGACTAGTATTAACGGCTGAAAAATGTATTGCTTAAAAATAATTATTAATTTGGCCTAATTGTTAATAGTATCTTATTATTGAGGAATATGTTTTTAGACGGAGACTATCTAGTCAAAGATAGACAAAAGGAGACCTTTTCTCATGTCCTAATTTTGCAGTAATGCCGTCTTTCAAAAAAGATATAACTAGCAAGAAAGTGAGGGATAAAAACATTGTTCAGAGAAAGCCTCACATTTTCTTAGGTTATGGCATCTTTTAAGAGAAATATAACCCATTGTCGAGATCCGGATGCTGCAAGATTGTGTGCTCCTGCGGTAGACCTTATATTGGTGAGATATGCAGGTCCATTGGACAAAGACTAGGAGAACACAAAAATGCTTGTAAAGGGAGCTAGGTGCAACGATCAGAAGTGACCGAACACATGGCAAAGACTAGATATGAGATAAAATGGTCTCAAACTAGTTGGTTTGCTGATTATTGTGCGTCTGTTGTGAAAATAAAAGATAGGAGAGGCTATTGTGAAGAACGCTGGTAGAAAGTTGAGTAAGAACTCCTCAGAGTTGATTAACAGATTAAAGGAGAGAGAGGGTGTTGAGCCACCATTCAAAAGAAGGCGATTCAATTTGTCCACACAGTGATGGTTATAACTTCATCTACACTTGTTCAACATGTTAGATAAGCTCATCAACCAAACCTGACATTCTACATTACCCAGCTCTAGTCATGCCTTCCCTTGGATGGTTAAACTTTAATTATTCTTAACTGAGAGGGTAAGACAGGTGGTTTCGTAACCTGACTTACATGTTTATAGGCTTACATTCAATAATCTCAACCATACTTGCTTACAGACTTACGCATTCTCTT